AAAATTATAAAAAAAAACAAGAGAAAACATAAGATGTAGATTTAAGAGGATATACCTCAACATAATGAGTAAAATCATCTAAAAACATAACATAATATTTATAATTGCCAAAAGAAGAAGTTGGAAAGTTCCAAACATCAGAATGAATTAATTGAAAAGGTACAACTGAAACAGATAATGATTCTTGAAATGGAAGTTTAACATGTTTCCCTAATTTGACGGCCATGACATAAACTAGGATAGTAAGGCAATTTATTTGTAGAAATTAAACCCCAATGAGCAAGATGATCAAAGGACAACGAACTCAGATGACCCAAACAACAATGCCAAACTTGAGGAGAAATGGACACATGAAGAACTTGACTTGTAGACTAACTGGAATGCCTAGGAAAAGAATATAAACCATTTGCACTATTACAACAAAAGAGGACGGTATTCAACTGCAAATCCATAACAAAAAAACTAAAAGGGTCAAAATCAACACTACAACTATTATCCTTGGTAAATTGACAAACTGACACCAAATTTTTAATGATATTTGGGCAAACCAGAATATTATGAAGAGAAAAAGCATGATTATTACTAGTTGGAATTAACTTACCACCAATATAAGAAACAGGTAGAAGCTGGCCATTTCCAACTTGTATAGACTCAAGACTAGAAAATAAGGAGTAAAAGAGGGCAAGTTATCAATATTTTTGGAAATGTGAACCAATGAACTAGAATTAAAAGCCCAATTATGATTTTTTTTTTTTGAAAAGCCAAGAAATTTATATTGATAACTTGAGTACAAGGGGTACTCGAAACTATTTCCATGAACAACTTACAATCCCTTTGGTGTTACTACCTTTTTTCAAACATTTCCTACTATGCTTTACTAAGGCAAGAAGCAGGGTTAATTAACCAACCTGATAGATTGAAGTAACACTTGGGTTTCCTAGCTTTGATCCAAGCAAAATACCTTAATTGAATAAGTTCAAAAAGTTTAATCAAGTTTACCTCTGCATTGTCAAAAATCTTTTTGTTGTGCAGCATCCACACAGTCCATAACATTGCATTCCATATACAGTCCCACCCTTCCTTTTTGTGTGACTTTTTTGTCCACGCCCCAAAGTGTTGAAATGTTGGCCAGCATTCTTTTTGTAAGACTATTGTGATTCCCCACCACTTTGCACAAGCTTTCCATAGCCACTTAGCTATATTGCAGTTCAAGAACAAATGACTTGAGTCTTCCTCCTCTTCTTTACACAAAGCGCATTTCCTTTCTTCCAAGTCTTTTATGATTCCTCGTTTGAACAAATTAATCCTAGTTGGGATTCTGTCAATTAATACCTTCCAGTTGAATGCAGCTACTTTTGTTGGGATGGTTGGATTCCATACTCTCTCCAATATTTTCTCCTCTTCATCTTCCTTCCTTTGTTTTACTAGTACTGCATAAGCTGTTGTCGTTGAGTATTGTCCATCAACGCTGTGGATCCACTCCCATCTGTCTGCACAACCTGGGGAGATTTTAACTTTGTCGATTGTCTTCTGCAGTTCCTTTTCAGCCTCCTCCTCCCACTAGAACAGGGCCCTTCTCTATGTCATGTTCCACTTCCATGTGTCGTTGTGATCCTCTCCCATTTGCTGGCAATCTTTTTCCTTCCCTGTTGACAAGACATACAATCTAGGATATATATTCGCTAGGTAGTTCTCTCCACACCACTCATCCCACCAAAAGCTCACTCTTTTCCCTTCACCTATCTTAATCCTAAATCCCTCCGTCAACCATCCCTCATTCTCGTCCTCCCCGACATTGAGACTTTGTAAGTCTCTCCACCAAAGTGATCCTACTCTTCTTCCATCTCTCACCCAGTTCATCCATTGTCCTCCATTTTCTCCATATTTTTCCCTTATAACTTTCCCCCAAAGCCCCTCTTCCACTTTCGCTAACCGTCCCCACCATTTTCCCATCAACGCCAGATTAAACTTTCTTAGGTCCTTCACTCCCAGGCCTCCACACTCCTTCTTCCTACACACCCTCTCCCAACTAACCCATTTGATTTTTTTCTCCTCCCCCAACCCTCCCCATAAAAAATTCCTATGTATTTTATCTAAATAGTAGAGAATACCTTTGGGGATTTCGTAGGCCGATATCAGATACACGGGTAAACTGGACAACACAAAGTTTAAGAGCGTGATACAACCTCCTAAGGATAAGTTTTGACCTTTCCAGCTAGCTAGTTTCTTCTTGAAAGATTCCAACAGTGGCTTCCACAATGCTACCTTTCTATGATTCCCTCCAGCTGGTATTCCCAAATACTTGAAAGGTAGTTCTCCCTCTTTACAGCACAGTCTACAAGCCATTCTCTCCTTCCAGCCCTCCTCAGTTCCAATCTCCATTATCTAACTTTTTCCAAAGTTGATTTTCAAACCCGGAGCAAGTTCAAAAGTCCTCAAAATGCATTTGATTACTTGTATGTTTTCTTATGAAGCCTCCTCGAAAAATAATGTATCATCAGCAAACTGGAGATGAGATACTGATATGTTTCCGTTACCAATCCTTACCCCTTTGAACAAGTTTTTCTCCACTGTAGATTGCATTAGCCCATTCAAACCTTCTGCCGCTAATAAGAATAGAAAAGGTGAAAGCGGGTCGCCTTATCTTATTCCCTTGTTGACCAGGAATTGCTTTGTGGGGCTTCCATTCACAAGGATTGAGATCATACTCGATTGCAAGCATTCCCTTATCCACTTTCTCCACATAACTGTGAATCCCGTCCTCATTAGCATATAATCAACAAAATCCCAGCTCACCTTGTCATACACTTTTTCAAAGTCAACTTTGAATAAAAAGCTCTTTATTCTCTTCCTTTTTGCTTCGTCAATCACCTCATTTGCAATCACCACTCCGTCCATCAGCTGTCTACCTTTTATAAACGCCATCTGCTGCTCCCCTATGATCTTGCCAAGTACTTTCCTGAGACGATTGGCTAACAGCTTTGCAAGAATCTTATACATAGCTCTGATGAGTGATATTGGTCTGTATTCCTCGATTCTTTAGGGGTTTTCGACCTTTGGAATTAGAGTAATGAATGAGGAGTTTGAGCCTCTTACTAATTTGCCATGCTCATGGAATTCCTGCACAAATCCTATGACATCCTGCTTTATTTCCTCCCACATTGTCTTTATGAACCTGAAATTGAATCCATCCAGGCCAGGAGACTTTGTCGAGTCACAATCCCATACTGCATTTTGAATATCTTCTTCAGTGAATTTTTCCATCAGGAAATCGTTATCCTTATCAGCTAGTTGTCTAAAGTTGATTCCGTCAAGCTTTGGTCTTTGCCACTTTTCTTCTGTAAACAGCCCCTTAAAATACCTTATCGCACCCTCTCTGATTTCAGCCACACCTCTATATTGCTCCCCATTGATCTGGATGCTATTAATTCTGTTTCTTCTCCATCTGCCCTTCACACTTCTGTGGTAAAACTTTGTGTTTGCGTCCCTTTCTTTTAGCCACATCTTTCTTGATTTCTGTTGCAACATGCTCTTTTTGATTCTCATATTCTTCCATAGGTCAAGGAAGCTACTTCTCCTTAGTTCGATGTCCTCTACTATGAGTTGGCTATTTTCTTCTTTCCTGTCTAGTTCTGTTATGTTCTTTTCAGCTCCACTTATTCTTCTGTCCACATCCGCCATGTAATTTGCACTCCATTCCTTCATAGCTTTTTTGGTTTTTTTCAACTTTTCTTTGAGTTTGAACCCCATCCATCCACTCACTACATCTGAGTTCCACACTTGGCTTATCAACTATTTGCAATCAGGATGTTCTAGCCAAGCATCAAAGAATTTAAAAGGTTTTGGCCCCCAATCAACCTTTTCATTCTTTAGTACTAAAGGGCAATGGTCAAACATTGTTCTTCCCAAACCCCACTATTTTAAATCACTCCACTTCTTCAGCCATTCGTCTGATAGTAAGAACCTATCAATCCTGCTTCTATGTTGTCCATTAGCATTGTGCCAAGTGTACTTCCTGCCCACCAAAGGTAAATCTACCAGCCTAGCATCATGGATAAAACTATTAAATTCATTCATTTCCCTGGTCATCCCACTGCAACTTGCTCTGTCCCCTACTTTTCTTGCTACGTTGAAGTCCCCCCCCAAGCACCAATTACCCTTTCTACTAGTGATCAGATTCAACAACTCCTTCCATTATGCTATTTTTCCTTCCAAATGACATGAGGAGTAAATATTAAGAATGTAGACAGGCACCCGGTCCTCCCCCCATTCCCCAAAACCTCCTATGAAATTTTTTCCTTCAATCACCTCTGTCTTTATTAACACATTCCGACTCCATATACACAGTAAGCTTCCTGACATACCCTCTGATGGTTTAAAGATCCATTCAAACTCATCGGTTCCCCATATCCTTCTACAAGTACTTCTGTTAACTATCTCCATCTTCATCTCCTGTATTACTAAAAATTCTACTCCCTCTTTTTTTACCACTTCTCTAATTTTTCTTTTTTTCCCCAACCCTCCAAGCCCTCTAATATTAAAGGACATCAGTATCATCATAGAAATTGCTTACCTTCTTTGCATCTTCTGCCGCTCACCTCACTAAGTCTTCTTTGCTTCGCTTATCTCTACCCTCCATTTCATTGATTTTTTGCAATATCTCCTCATCATTCTTTGCTGTGGCTCCCAACCTTTTGGCTAGATCCCATATGTCCTTCGCTAGTTGGGTTTGCAGTTGCTTTCTTAGAGCTCGATTACAGTTTTGGATCCCACTGTCACCAACAGAATCAGCTGCGATTTCACCATTTGGGCTTGCTATGAACTTCGGCTCTGTCATCCCCTCCTTTGGTTTCTTGTTTTGCCTCCCTCGGTTTTTTCTCCTTTGCATCCCATCTTCTGCAGATCTTGCCTTGAGGTATACCGAACTACAGAGGCGAATTTTCTTCTTCCTTTTCTGTGGGAAGCCTTCCTTGCACCACTTCGTCCTCTTCATCTGGTCCTCTTTGCTTACTTTGACCTACCCATTGAGATCTTCCATTTCTTCTTCACTGGCTATTGTTGCAGAGCCCTTGTTTCTCGAGTTTTTTGATTTGTTTGCTAAAGTTGACTTTGCACCCTTTGTTTGATGTGGTCTGCTTATACCCAGCCCCATGCTTGATGAGTTCGCATGGTTTGGGCTGTTCTCATGTGAAGTGGGCTGCCTTCTTTGGCCCAAATTTGTTTGGCCCAAATTTGTTTTCTTTTTGAGGCCCGGCCTCATTCTTCTACCCTCATTTGAACTATCTGTCCTTTCTACACTCCCCGCCTCCTACGCCACTCTCTCCTCTGTTTTTCTGATTACTTTTCCATTTGAAATTTGAAAACACTCCAGGCTGTCCGTAACTTTCTCCACTGTCTCCTCTTCCTCTTGCTGCACGTGTGATTGGGACATGCCACCTAACTCTCCTCTGCTACATTCCATGTCATCATCTTCAAGCTCGAGCTCCATCGATCTGCCGTTCCCCTGTTCTTTCTCTACTGCTTTTTCACACACATAATCCTCAATCTCGCTCTCCAATGACCATGATTCATAATCCTCTGACTCGCTTTGGAAATGGGGAATAAAAGCCCAATTATGTTTAGTAGAGGTTGTAGAGGCAGTATCAAAGAAAAATGAAAAAGGTGCATTATCCACCATATAAGTCTCTGGAGTCGATGACTGGTGAGAGGATTGTGATGATTGAGAAAGAAGAGGATAGTCACGAGCTTGGTGATTCATCTTTCCACCCCACTAACCAATAATCACAGACAATGGTGTTGGAAGCAAAGGAGGCTGAGATGCTACTAGAAGCAAAGGAGGTTGAGATGCTACTGGAAGCAAAGCAGGTTGAGGTGCTGCACTCCGTGGAGTCTGAGGAGAGAAAGGATTATGAGGCCGAGAAAAATTAGAACCACGGTACCCAGAAAAGTATGCTTGCTCGGATGATCAGTTGCCTTGAAAATGCCCTCCATTTCCCCTAAAATTATTCCGTCCACCGCGACAATAATTATTGCTTCTGAATTGAAGATGAGATGCACCAGAAAATTCTCTTTGTTGTTGAGAAACAGTGGATGAAATCAATCCTGTGGAGAAGAAAATGAGTCTACAGCATGAACTTGATGATTTTCATGTTGTAAATTGGCCTCTTCAATCAAGAGAAGGGATCGAAGTTGCAAAAAAGATGGAAAAGGCACTCTCTCTGGTATTGTGCGTTTTGAAACACTATAAGCTTGATCCAAACCAGCCATAATGCGTAGCACTAGATCACAATCAGAGACAGGATCCTTTTTGGAATATAACTTATTTGCAATTTTCTTGGCTCGTTGAAGATATTTTAGCATAGATTGATTTGGCTCCTTTCTAAGCGTCGCACATTCTTGACGATATAAATAGCATTTGCCTCAAGTTGATCATGGTAGGCTAGCTCAATTGCATCCTAGGCTTGTTTAGACGTAAGAGATCTACCTAGTTGAATAATAAATTGCAAGATCTCAGGTGAAATTGTTGCACAAAAAACTCCTTTGCTGCAAATGAATGGAATCATCAACTCCTTCCACAAAGTGTAATTATGATGAGTAAGAACTTTAGAAACAAAGTCTCTAATGTTGGAAACAGAAAATGCTGGATGAGAATATATAGAAGAGATAGGTGTTTTGCCCATGGTAGTGACAGGGAGGATTGGTGTTGAGGCTGAGATATGTGGAGGAGAGGTTTAAGAGGTTAAAACTGGAGAAGTTTGAGAATTACCAGTAGAGGAAGTCATAGCTATAGAGAAGAGAAACAAGACAGCAGAAAAAAAAGAAAACCCTAAACGTGACTCTAAGAAGAAACAATTTTGATGCCCTAATTACAACTCTGATACCATAATGAAGTGAAACCCTCAATCAATTCTTCTCATTAACAATTCTATATATATACAGTATGGTATACCGAGCTGAGGTTATGAATAAGTAATGGCCATATACAAAAATGATACAAAACAATACTTTCTATCACTTTTAAATTTGTATTTTAGTGGTTGAAATGTGCACTGCCTGACATTATGTTATGCAGCGCACTACTTTTGTCTTTTGTTGGTTTTTTTTTTTTTGGTACGTGTCTTTTGTTGTTTTTATCCGACGGTTGGCAATTTTTTTTTAAAAAGTTATTTAATTTAAAATTTT